GAGTAGAACAGCTTCCATCCATTGAGGTTCAGGAGTCCAGAGCCTGGGAGTTTTGTTGACGAGAGTCCAATAGTGTCGAGTTGGTACTTCATGGCCTCATCAAGTAATTCTTGTTCTTTTCCTCTGAATGAGAATATGTTCCAATTTCCGACTTTAAGCTCCCACTGGTGTTGTCGTTCTCGTGAAGCCTTTCTGACTTGCTATAATATCATTGCGCTGTCTGCCTCCTTCGTTCAGAACTGGTAGCGACTCCATTGTTGACTGGTTTCTTCGTCGTCGTTGCGTCGGTCTACGTCAGCTGTTGTCCTCCCTCCGGCTGACAGAGGGCGAGGAGCATGTTCTGATCGCCGACTTTTTGCAGTCTGTCTGATTCCTCAGTTCTCTAACAGCCTGAATGGCTCGTGGTAACCCGTATGACGACCGAGCCGGTATAATTTTCGATGGCGTCAATACCATGAGTCGTAGGTGGCTGAATTTTACAGTGAATTGCCACTGTCTCCAAGCCTCCTATTTTCTCATCCGGGCTTGGGGCTGGCGGTGTTTTGCTTAGACTAATATATAGCAAAGCGTTTAAAATTTGCGTCCTTGTTTGTAATCAGGAATTTTTTTACTAACAGACTGGATCTGTGAGATTCCGATATCGTACCTCTGGAATATTGTTTCATGTTTTATAAAGATTTCAGAGCTGAATAGTGTGGTTTCCGGTTTTTTTTCTCTTTCAATGTGATCACTTGCTGTGATTGTTTCCCTTTCCTTGAGCTGAAATAAGGTTTGGTGCTTGAATTGGTCCGAAATTTGCGTCTGCTTACTGTAAGGTTAATTTAACTATTTATGTACAAAGTGTGACTAATTAACTAAAGTAATCTTGAATTTTATTAGATAAATTTTTAATTCTAGTTTGTTTAACTTTGAGAAATGTCTCAACTTTCCTACTTTCACGTTTCACTGTACATTTTTTACACTTTTTCTGCTTAATGACATTGAATATAACAATAGGCAGTGAAAATCTGTCTCTAAGGTGACAATTTTAAACATTACCCTCTTCCAAAATTTGAACAATTATTTTGCCATAGGCGTGTGTCAGCTGGTTAATGATCATCTCACAGTGCCTTAAAAATAAATCTGCGTTACTCTGCCTTGACCATGCGTCGGTCATTGTCAAGTCCTGCCTGTCATGCTCTGACCGCAGTTAGTCGGTAGAGCGTCGACTAAGAACTGAGAAGTATCTCGCACTGCGTCTTGTTGGATTAGACACACCTTACTTTTGATGTTGATCAGTACTGCTCTGTAGAAGGGAAGTCGTAAGAGTATACCTACTATCGGCTCTGATTCAGATGAAGCACTCCTGCCTAATATAATGGCAATGGATATCAGCGTTTCTTCGTTAATTTCTTGAATAGGAGGGTGCCAGAAATAGCGCCATCATGAAAGTGTGAGAAAGATCGACGTTACAACGATTACAAATTTTGCTTTCCTTCCTGTCGATCGTAATAATTTTATGATTGATAAACTTATTTTTTATAAATGCCGGTAAATAGTTTCGAAAGTAATAGGTTCTTCCTACGGAAGTTTGCAGGGAATCCAGATAGGACTTCTTGCATTTTAATATATTTCTTTCTGGAACAAGATAATCATCGATCTTCGTGTCCGATTTGCGAATCATCTCTGAATTATACCGGAATTAGAGAGCTCTAACCGTCTGAATAGTGAACTTTAATTGGTTTATTTTTTTAAAGTTCATGATGATGTGGAAATTGTACTCAGGAAATGTTTGAATATGTTTGGCTATAAAAAGCAGATGAATTTGGAATTGGTGCCGCAGTCACAGATTATATTGACCTAAATGTGTGGGCATTTCGAATTGTCTGAGTCTTATTCGGTGTTCGCTTTACTGATACTGCTTAGAAAATGATGATCACTCTTCAGTTGGCCCCCTAAGGCAATGATTATGATCATGTCGCAGCTAGCTAAACCATTTTGAGGATTTTTTATTTCTTAATGTTAGAGCTTTCATCCTGGGCTTCGTTGCTACATTCCCGTGTGCCTGCATTTACTTATCTTGTATCTCTATTGCAGTGTACTATTCTTCAATTCTCACATTTATGGTTTGTTTAGAAATTGATACCGGGTTTCTTTCTTTCGCGTATGACTATTTTCCGCAGAACAAGGTATCGTTGTTTCATGATGTCGTTCTACCGTGGGGTGCTTAATTTCAGTGGTTATTCCTTCACGTTTTAACAGCTCTTCATCTCGTCTTTGTCCAGACGGCTGCGATGCTTTGTTTTAGACCGGGAATAATCGTGAACACTCTTTTCACATAATAACCTAGGTACACTTTGCCATTCATTCGTGCCCAACCTCCGGTTACCTCTTTTGAGCCGGTTGTTCAGCCGTGTTTTACAGAATAAGGCATCCCGTGTTGCAACGGAAATATCAGTAACTGTGCAGTAGGATTTCGTAAGATTTGCGCCTCTGTCGTG